GCTGAGAATAACGGCTAATAGTAATTTGAGACAATTAATTAGTCACTATACGATTATTTTAATATTATAATTTGATTGTGTTATCTTTAGTTTTTTTTTTTACTATATATACATATATGGATGATGATAAAAATATTTCATAATTTAAATATAATATTCTACCTACATTTAAATATAATTTTATTTTTTAACGAAAAATTCAAGATGTTAAAGACCAATAGCGGCATAAATTAGTAAACTCATAAATTTATTTTTATTTGTACTTTTAATTTTTATAATTATATGTATGTGTAATTTTTTTAATTTTAATTACTTACACGTAGATATTTTTATTTTTTAAATTTTCCAATTAAATCTTTTATTTTAAAATTAAGATTTTTATTATTTATAATTAATAAAAAAATTTATTATATTGTTATTAATTATCGTATAAAATTTTGAAGAGAAAGGACTTATTTAAGTATTTAAAAATTAGAAAGACTAAATTTAGCTATTAAAATTAAGGAGACAAAAAATATAATTAAGTTAAATCGTAAAAGTTTAACTATATTTTAAATTATTATATCTTAGTATTTTTATTTTAGATTCTTCATACAATTTCTTTATTTTAATCGTTATATTTTAATAAATTATTATTTTAAGTTTTTTTCGTTGATGTGATCTAATTAAAAAGTGATTTTGATTGTCTTTTAGTATACTAAATTAGCAATATGAACTAAAAATAAATAAATAAATCATAAAAATGTAAGGAAAAAATTATTTGCTAGATTAAAATTAAACATTTGCTAAAATACGAAGATTAAAACATATTTAACTCAGTTATAAAAAAATTTAACATTTTATTAAACAATTTTATTGTAATATATAATATATTTTTAAAGTATAAGTGATTGTTGAGAATAAAATTTTAAATTATAGATTTTCTAATTATAATTATAAATATTTAACTTATTTAAAATTTCATATGATATTAAACATGATAAATTATCGTAGGAATGACCATGAATTTTATACTCATTAAGTACTTGTAAAAATAAATAAATACTCACAGTAAGTAAGTAAATATCTGCTTAACAGGTTTGGATGCGAATATGAATAAATACTTACAAATTTTGATGAATACGAGCGTTATAATACTTGAACTGACATACCAACACTAATTTATATAAAATAAGTGTATATAAGCACATATCATAAATATAAATATAATTAAAAAGTTTTGAATGAATTATTTTGTTATATTTTCATACATATATTATAATTTGGTATTTTATGGTATTTTTAAATAGCTATAGAATAATCATTTTATTTCAAATATTTTTTGAAAATGTTAATTATTTTATTAAAATATTCATACTTTGTTAGTTTGCCAAAAAAATTTAAAAAATATATATTTTAGTTAACAAATTCAGAAATTCAGGGTAACTAATACAAGTATAAGAATTTACGTAATTAACGAGTATGAGAATAAGGATTTGATATTTAATGGGTAACACGTAGGACTAATTTTTTAAAATACAAATTAAGGAAAAAGACTATTATACCCTATATAAACTCTATTCATTGTCACTCTTATTTCTGAAATAAGTGGTAAAGTGGGTGCCTTCCCCATATTTATTATAAATAATAAAAATATTTTTAAAAATATTAAATTTAAAAATAGTCTTACAATATTTTTTTATTTTAATTCAATAATATATATTTAATGCATGAGAAATTCACTAGTAATAACAATAGTAAATCTTATTTTTAAGAGTAAGGATTTAAATTTATAATGTTAAAGTGGATAAGAAATTAATTTATCAAAATAATCAAAGCTTATATAAATATTATTTCTCCTAATTCTGGGCCACTAAAATTCAGTAAAATAAAAACATCCCAAATTAATTGGAAAGCATAACCCTTAATATTCAAAAACAATTCTTTTCTTTTTGCTACTTTTTTTTTTTTTGGTCAATCTTTTGAATTTAAATTGCTATTCAACAAACGCTTCGTGTCTGTTTCATATTACTAAGATATAGTTTGTTTAAGATGGAAAACACAATTACATGAATCTCAATAACGTTGAGATCATTATTGGATGGAAGCAATTTATTTTTGTCATCAAAAAAGAAAATTTGAAATGCTTAATCACGTAAACAACCAGATCATAAGCATCTTTAACTGCCAAAAACATCAACAGAAAAGCATTTTATTATTTTTAATAGATAATGCTATTCATATTTAAATTTCTTTTGACATATCTAAACAACAAAGAGATAAAGAAAAAAAAAAAAAAAAAGATAAGATGATACAATGGAAAGAGATAAAAGAAAACTGTGATAAGATGTTACATAAAACCAAAGTATGGATAATGCTATCAATTTTTATTTTTTGGATTCAAAATTTTATTATTTTAATAATAGTATAAATAATAATATCCCCTCATGTTTTAGGATTCACGTAACAAAATTTCACACACTTTCTTCTCCACAGAGCTTCTCACTCTGCATCATCCATTTTCTTTCTCTCTCTTTCGTTCCTTCTCCTCCTTCTCCCAAAACCAAAACCCACTTCCCCAATCCACCCTTCATTCCTCCCACATCGTCAAGTGCCTCTCTTTATCCACCAAAGTGATCAACTTCAAATTTTTTTCCTCCTTCTCATTTTTTTTCTCATATTTTCCACACCATCTTCATTCATCTCTAAGGAAAAAAAACAAAGAACACTAATAACATTAGCACCATTGACACATTAATTACATTATAATGAAGCCTTCAATATCTGGAAAACTCTTCACAGTGGGGTTGATAAGTGCATGGTAGGCTTCAAACATTGGAGTGTTGTTGTTGAACAAGTACCTTCTTAGCAACTATGGATTTAGGTACCCAATATTCTTAACACTTTGTCACATGATGGCATGTTCAATCCTTAGCTACATTGCCATAGCTTGGCTCAAATTGGTGCCAATGCAAACGGTGCGTTCAAGGGTGCAATTTGTGAAGATATCAGCATTGGGACTAATATTCTGTTTGTCTGTGGTAGGAGGTAACATCTCCCTCCGTTACCTCCCCGTGTCGTTTAACCAGGCCGTCGGCGCCACCACGCCGTTTTTCACGGCGGTTTTTGCTTATATGATGACCCCCAAGAGGGAGGGTTTGCTCACATACATCACTCTCATCCCTGTTGTCGCTGGTGTTATTATTGCTAGTGGGGTATAACTTCTCTTTCTTATGATCTGTTTTTGTCTCTTCTATAAAGAGGATATGTGTTTTGTATGTGCAAGTGACAAACTACTGAATTGGACTTATGTGTATCTTTGTTTTCTCTGGTTAAGAATTTGTGAAGAATTTGAATGGTGGGCATGCAATTCTAGGTTTCTATTTTTTGGATTTACTTCTTCAAAAGTAAAGGTTCAACACTAAAAAAAATTTCAACTTCATAATTTGGTTTGTAAGTACGTGTAATTTTTCACTAAACCATTATTACTTTATTATCTAAGAGGAATTTCGTATATAAATCACTTATAATGTTATATGCTAGTATGTTGAAGAAAATTCTTATGTTAAGCATGTGATACAGAAATTAGATATGTGATTTCGGGTTATTTTATAATATTTAATATGATTTTGGATGTTGAGTCTATTCTGCTTAAGATGAATTTTTTTAATGTTAGATTTGGAAGGTGTCAATGTCATTAATGTAGATGAAAATGGGCCCTGCTGGGCATTGCAAGCTATAGTTATTGATTTTTGCTCAATCTTTTCTCTTGCATGGTTAAAGGGAGAACCAAGTTTTCATCTATTTGGATTCATAATGTGCATCAGTGCTACAGCAGCCAGGGCACTCAAAACAGTGCTTCAAGGGGTCTTGCTGTCTTCTGATGGGTAATGAGCTCAAACTTTCCTGCCACTTTATTTGAACCATGATACTGAATGAGTGACATTCCTAACATAGTATCGTTTAAGATTTTGGCTAGGTTGGTACTGAAATAGTTTCTTTAATTCTTTGATTTCTCAGGGAAAAGCTTAATTCTATGAACCTTCTTATGTACATGGCACCAGTCGCTGTTGCATTCCTTCTTCCAGCTGCAATTATAATGGAGGAGGATGTAGTTGGAATTACAATTGCACTTGCTAGAGATGATTCAAAGATCTTGTGGTTACTCCTCTTCAATTCTGCAATGGCATATCTTGTCAATTTGACCAATTTCTTAGTGACAAAGCACACCAGTGCATTAACACTACAGGTAATCATGTCTATTTCCCCTTTGAAATTATAGGAATCTCTCATACCAATATACAAACAAATTATATATTTTTTTTCACTCAGCAACATCTAACCATGCATTTTTTATATTAATATTTCATACCATTAACTAGAATCATCGTTACTGTTCCAGGTCCTAGGAAATGCCAAAGGAGCTGTGGCAGTCGTTATCTCCATTGTGATATTTCGAAATCCTGTATCAGTAACTGGAATGTTAGGATATTCTCTCACAGTTATTGGAGTCATCTTATATAGTGAAGCCAAGAAACGGGGTAGATAAGAAACAGGAGTCATTTGATCATAATGTTGCATCGTTATATCAATTTTGCTTCTATCCACTTGTTAAACTACTGAAGCTAACCATTTGAATTTACAAAATTCCTTTTAAGAATTAAATGATTCATTAAATACACCTTCAGGGAGCTATTGATCGTATATACACAAACTTCTGACTAAATGTTAAGAGACACTTATTTTCCTCTTGTACATTCGTGGCAAGTGCCTAAATTATTTAGGCAGCTTCTATAAGCAACTCCTTTGCTCTTCTCTATCTCATTAAAGCGCATATAACAAAATGAATTTAAAATGTGGAAAAGGCTTATCAGTAATTTACAAGACTGTCAACAGAACCCAATTCTAGCTGTATATCAAACTCAAGTTTTCGGCTAATAGATCAATATTTTGTCATGAAGCTATTCCAGGCCATAAAAAAAAACTCGCATCATCATGAAAAATGCACAAGCATAGTTTCAGTGTCCTAAACTACAATATATTCAAGGGAAAATAAGGTGGTAGGAAACCAATACACCTCTATGAAGTTCATAGATCACCAATCTGTTGCCCAAGTTAAAATATCTTAAATAGATGTATTAAGGCATCCAAGTACAACCGAATTAAAATCCTAAATCCAACATCTAATAAATAGATTAAACTTGAGGTTTTGACTCTTCTTCATCTTCTTCTATCTTGGGTGCCAAATAGAACCGGACATAACCCATCTCAGCAATCTTGTACTCAACCACAACTGGCAACTCATTTGAGAGACTAATAGTAACTGTATTAGACAATGGTGTTGCCTTAGTGAAAGAGTTCATGTATCGCAACGCAAATGTCAAAGACACAGGCTCATTCATCTCTATGACAGTGGCTTCTTCAGGCTGCAACATTAACCCAAAAACACAGCAATGTAAAAATGTCAATCACTGTGCATTGAAGTTATAAACATACAGAATAAACTAGCCCAGTTAACTATAAAGCTTGAGAATTCATGGTTAAAACAGAGAATGAGATATAAACCAATGTCTCACCTTGTCCACAGATGTATTCTGCCTGCAAACTATATTTGCAGTTCCAATATCTCCTTTGGTGGAAAACTTTACACCCTCTTTAGTAACCGAAATTACAACTACAGCATACATCATAAAATTACCAACATTTCTCAGTATACCTTTCAAAACAACTTGGTAAGAATTAAAAAAACCCAGAAAACAACTAGTCAAGATTATTACCAGTGTCACCAATACTACTAAGATCTTTGCAAATCCTGGCAAACTCTGAAGACGGCATCCTAACAATGGCATGATATTCTGCCTCGGGAATTCCAAGGTGTTCACTATCAATGTCCATCAGCTTCATCTCAAAATCTGAAATCTTGTCTTGCGCTAGAAAACATTAACCCCAAAAATCCAAATCAGACATAAAATTAATAAAATTTAAAAACTTATAATTCAAACCCTAATAACACATTAATAAAACATACTGTCAAAAACTAAACATTAAAACCCTAAAATTAAGAAAATTCAGAACCATTTAACTATTGTATAAACTACAAAACACTGATGCATTCGTAAAAGCAGCATCCAATGAGTGAAAATTAACCTCTCCAATGACAAATAATTGGAAAGTGAACAAAAATATGAACGAACCATAAACTATATAAAAAAGAAAGATCAAATCGCACTGAACTAAAAACCCTAAAACAATGGATTTAGGCAATTATTTCAAAAATTAAAAAAATTGTTCAAGAGAGGGAAACCTACTAGGGCTTTCGAACATGAAGGTAACAGTGTCGCTACCATCATCGGCCTTGATGGTGATTATGTCATCGTTACCGGCACATTTGAGCATTTTCGACATGTTGTTGAGGTTCATGCCCATGGAGATGTTGCGGTCGCAACGGTAGTGTTCAAACCCTTCCGATCGGAGCAGCAATGCCACCAACGCCACGTGGCTGGAATCCATAGCTTGGAGAGAAAACCCTGTGGCTGAACAATCGAAGTTCGCATCGTTTACGAGCTCCTTGATGGCTTCCAAAACCTTCTTGAGAAGGGAACCTTGGACTAGACGAAGTTCCAACATCTCGATATAGGGTTTGACGGCTTTCTCTGAGGATTAGGGTTTATCTGCGGATTTCGATTTTCTCGGGGAATTTGAAATTGGGAGAAGAAATGGGGGGGAAAGGGCTTTTATAGTAGAAGGTTCTAGAACAAGTTGGCGGGATTGGCTGAAATAATTGAATTCCCGCCATCACTTTTAATGGAATGTGTGGAGGGAACTTTCTTTTCCTATTTTTTATTTCTTCACTTTCTATGTTTTCTCTCTCCTTAGTTTCAAATTTTTTAATTTTTAAAATCTAAATTACCATACAAAATAAGTTGCACTTGGTTCATTACAACAACTATCAAGTATATGCTATATAGTGATAATGTCCATTGACTTGCATATTTAATTTTCTCATGAGTATGATAAATAAAAACAACCTAATAATGTTAAATAGTAAAGACTATAAAGTAAAGTAATATCTGAATTTATACTACGTTTGGTTTCCTTGTAAAAAGAAAATAATAATGGAAGAGAAATAAGAAAAAGGGATTTTTTATTTTATTTTTTTGTTAGCTTCAGATGGAGTTGATTTATTGTTGTGATTTCTTGAAATGTCTATTAAGAATTCCACAATGTTTTGAACTTAGTTTAAGAACTCAATATTTGGCTACAATAAAACATAAATTATTAACCAAATGACCAATTAACATGTTCCCTTTTCCAAGTTGAGTCCAATCAATTTTTTTTGGGTCAAGCAACCATTTATAACACAATGTTTGTTTGAGACCAATAGATTGGGCTCATGTACTAGGTACCTTACTAGTTCATTAGGCCATATTTAACAGATACACTGTCTCATGGGACTAATCCAATCCAAGCATACAGGTGCTTGAGCCCAAAAAAAAAAAAATCTAAGCATATAATCGACTGAAACACCAAGATTGCACAGTTATCTGAATCCTTGGAAGGCTGAAATTTTTGTGTCCACTCTAACAAATATATGTTAGTTAAACTGAATTTAATTTAAAATTTGTAGTGACTAAATTAATATGACATAAACTTCAGTTGCCAAAATGATAATATAGAAAAAATAATAGCTTATATGTCTTTTTCCCATGAAACACATAAATATATCATCACTAGATTCCCCGTAAAAATACGTATTATTAGATTATATTAACCAACATTTGAAGCAAACAGTACTATGTTTTTGTAAAGTTGGTCTCCCTCTTCAAGACATAGAAATGGGTCCCTTGGCATTTTTCGCATTGGCACATGCATAGACTTCATAATTTGTACTATGTCACATGTTAGTTGGCGTAAGTAATAAGAATATTAATAAAAGGTTTCCTTACGTGACATTTCTCCTAACTAAGATTAAGATTTGGTTAAAAAAATAAAATTGTTAAGTAAGGTTGTATTGCTGACGGTGTGAACAAATTTTTTTAATTGAAATTTTGTTGTTACCAATGTTGAATAGTTTTGTCAACTCGAGATGGATCTTTTAAAACTAATTAGTAGTCTCTGAGACTCTAAAAACACATCTATGTTAAAAAAAAAATTTATAACCTTTCATATTTATATACTATTTTCAATCAAAATTCGAATCTCACTTCAATAATATATATTTATATTTAATTTTAATATAGTTATTATTATTAACATGAAATTTTAATTTAATCAATCAACAACACCAATTATGTCTAATGGTGTTCTACTTATTTTTATTTTTAGTTTAAAAATCTGTCATAAAAATGACAGTTGTCAACAATTATATTTTTCGCAATTTAAGGGGGTAGCTTTCTCCAGTGGTACTCCATCTGCATCACTTTCACATTCATTTCTTCATTAGAACCGAACCACTATCTGAACGAAAACTTTCTGTGGGGTGCGAAAGTAACACAACTAAAATTTATCTTTACTAATTTTAATTTTATTTCTCTTTTTATTATAAATAAATAAAATAGTAAATAATTATAAAATATATTGTAATATATATATTTTTAAAAAATATTATGAAAAACACGAGAGTAATTATTTACCGCGAACTCGTTAAACTCGTTTGAAGGAAGGTTTCATGTTACCATTCTTCTTAATCACTCACCCGACGCATTCTTCTTCTTCTTCTTCTTCGCAGTTTCTCACCAACGCCAACAATGTCAGATCCGAACCAGATTTCGTTCGGTCAAGCCTTCTTGTGCAGCGCTTTCGCCGCTTGCTTGGCCGAGGTAACCTTCCTTCTCCTCCTTCTGCACCTGCGCGTTTATTCCTTTCTTTTCGATTTCGAATTGTATTGTTGATTCAGCATTTTGAACGAGCATATGTTACTCGCACATTCGATCGTCTTAGATAGAAACTGAATCGCACATTTAGAAACGACAGGAAATTTAAATAACAACTCGCTTATCAACTGTTTAGTTTATCACGTATATTCGTGTGTATGTGGAAGTGGAAGTTGTCAAAAGTGAAATCGTGCGTGTTATTAACTTCGCTATGTGCATTATGTAATGTTCCTCGTTGTATTTAGTTTTTGCTGTGTTTTTGGAAGAATCTTATCTCACCTAGTTGAACTTTATTTATTTCTCTTTAGATAATTTTTTTAAAAAAAAATAAATTCTGGCCGTAAAAATTAACAAAGAAAAGAGTAAATGGTTCCATTTCCTCACCTAAGATATAAAAATATTTTGAACGGAGAGAATTGTGTATCATTAATCAAATGAAATTTTGAGTTCAAATGCTAATAAATGAGTGTTTTGGGGATAAAAAAAAAAAAAAAAAAGGAACTATGGATTCTAGTTAATGAAGAGAGGTTACAAGCTGGTTTCGGTTTTAAGTGAATGTAAGTGGTAATTGTACTGTGGTGTGTTCACTTGCAAATATATTGGCATCCCTGGTTATCTGACTCAATCTCTTAGTTTCTAGATGTTTCTTTTGTTAATTCTGGAGACATTTTCATATCCTCTTGTCTAGCTTTGCACTCTGCTTTTTTTTCCTTAATGAAACTTCTTTACATGCTTCATTTCTGCTTCTCTGAAGTTACATTATTGACAAATAAATATCTTTGTGTATATGTTCTATCCCAAGTCTGCTAAAGAATTTCAGCTCGAAACATTCCTATTAGAAAGTATTTCTAATAATTTCTTTGTGCTGTGTTTCACGTAGTTTTGTACTATTCCTCTGGACACAGCTAAGGTCAGACTTCAGCTCCAAAAGAAGGGAGGCGTTGATGATGGAGTGGGTTCACCTAAATACAGGGGCTTGCTGGGCACTGTTAAGACCATTGCTAGAGAAGAGGGTATATCAGCTCTGTGGAAAGGCATTGTTCCTGGTTTGCATCGCCAATGTTTATATGGGGGCTTAAGAATTGGGTTATATGATCCTGTGAGTATAAATAACTTCCTTTCGTTGAATAAGACTATGTCGTTGGAGGAACATGGGTTGTACATATGAACTGCACCATGGACAGGTCAAAACATATCTTGTTGGTAGTGCATTCGTTGGAGAGATTCCTTTATACCATATGATACTTGCTGCTCTGCTCACAGGTGAGTACTTCTGAACAGTTTTGTAGTTCAGATTGCGTAACATTCATTGACCTTCTCACCTTTGTGTGGAGCTTAGCATCCTCCATGCTTTTACTGGGACAAAAGAACACTTTACAATTTAAAAGGAAAACAATGCTTGAATTACTTTCATTTTTTCCCCATTTACATGAAAATTAAAACTTTAGCTGTGTTTGTGTTTATTTAATTATTTATCAAGCAACAACTTCGTCCTGATACTTTAGCAAAGGACTTCATCATAAATGTACAATAGTAATTCACATAATGTAAATTTAGAGTTAAATTATGACTTTCACTCAGGTTATTGAAGTTGAAGAAAAAAGGTTGTAAATTTAAGGGATGGGAAATGCAAATAGACAACAAGGAAATTCAAAAGAGAATTAATTAGATTTGTCTTCTTCTCAACGAAAAGATTTAAATGCTCACAACTTGTATTTTTCTTCTAAATAAAAATAGTGGTTCCTTGTCCAATTCCAAGCATGGAGAATTATACTTCTACAGATGAAGATAGCATTCCCCATATATATGTGTGTGTGGGTTTTGTATTGTATCATATATTATAATCACTGACTTTCTTTTTTGAACTTATAGGTGCTTTGGCAATAACAGTTGCTAATCCAACTGACTTAGTCAAAGTTAGGCTTCAAGCTGAAGGTCAATTCCCATCTGGGGTGCCTAGGCGTTATTCTGGTGCTATTGATGCGTATTTAACTATATTGAGACAAGTAAGCATTTTTTTATATTATTTTGGTTTTGTGCTTTTATATATGTTGAAAATATACTAATTGAGTATAATTCTCTATACTTTTTGTTAAACTAGGAAGGGATAGGGGCATTGTGGACTGGGCTTGGGCCTAATATAGCACGGAATGCAATTATAAATGCTGCTGAACTAGCTAGTTATGATAAAGTGAAACGGGTAATCACATTATAGGACATCTCAATTGGATATTTGCTTCAATTCAAAGTTGTTTCCTTACATAAAATTTAATCGCAATGCTGCTCTGATTCTTTATACTTATGCAGATGATTTTGAAAATTCCAGGGTTCATGGACAATGGCTATACTCACATCTTAGCTGGCTTAGGTGCAGGTCTATTTGCTGTCTTTATTGGTTCTCCTGTTGATGTGGTAGGTGCTACCGCTCCTTCCCCCTTTCTGTTTATCTACTGTCCACACTTTTGCTTAAGAAGAACATGGCATTGAAAGCAATGACAGTCCTGTTTATAAATGAAAAGAGACAAAAAAAGAAGGAAAGGCATTCAAATTGGTACAATTTTAATCTTTCCATGTAACATTTTGGTGCTGAATCTTGCCAAAAATAACCTTAACACTTTATAAGGGAATTTTGTTTTCAATTTTTTTAGTTTCTTAGTATTTTGAAATCCTAGAACCAATGCAAGATTCACTAGTTATATTGATGAAAGTCCTATGAAGAACCACCCTCTATTTTTTTCAAGTAAATGATGAATTTTATCCATTCCTATAATTTTCCAGGTCAAATCCAGGATGATGGGGGATTCAACCTACAAAAGCACATTTGACTGCTTTCTCAAGACTTTGTTTAATGAGGTTTGTGAACTTCTTCCTTGTTTGATTTGGTCATTGTTGTAATGACACTTCAAAATCTTGAAACCTAGGGAAATGAAAGATTCATTACAATGGTTAGCATCATTTTGTTGCTATGTTTTCATTTTGAATTTTTATTTTGATTGTTTTATAAATGCAATGGCTCTAAAGACCTCAATTATATGAGGTGACATGGGACCGGACACAAACTTCTTACTGCTTAATTAAAGAGGCTATTGAGCAGCACTTAATCTGGAAATTATGAATTTAACATTTCGTACTTGCTGCAACCTTGCATGCATTGATCCTGAACATGCTGAATATATTTTTAGTAGTTGCCATTAGCTTGTTGGTTTGATAAATAAGTTGACATGGGGGTTTGTATAAAGTTTATCTTTGTTTCGGGACAGCCTGAGCTCACATCACAAATGTATTGCAGGGATTTTTGGCATTCTATAAAGGTTTCCTTCCTAATTTTGGTCGTGTAGGAGCCTGGAATGTCGTTATGTTTCTTACTCTTGAACAAGTAAGATATACATATTATTTTGGCAAAGCCGCTAGTTTTATCTTATGTAATTTATATATCTTATTGTGCCTTGTTATCCAGTAAGAAATGTCCAGCTTAAAGGTTTGAGCCACTACTATATATGTTCAGTTATGTGGCTTGAAAAGTGTACGTTAGGTCTGTCTCTGTCTAATCAATATTTTCAATGAAAAATTTTCTTCTACTTCAGCTTCTACTATTACATGTCTTCTAAAGAAAGTGGCTTTTAGTAACTCCTTTTCACCTTGATCACAATCTATAAGTAGATCTCTTGTATAAACATTGTCATAGCACTATCTCGTAATCCATTTCAAATTAAGGATAGATACCTGCTTACTTTCTTTACACACCTTCTCATATTAAATGATTTAAATCCATTTCCAGACTCATATTTGGTGAAGACAAGTGTGAATATTAAAAGACTGCTTTTTCGCCTTTCTGGTACCATATGTAGTTTTGCGGATCTGTTTTCAGTAAACATGAACTTGTATATGACCATATGAATCTGGTTGTCAATATTGAAAGTGCTCCCTATTTGTTCATGTGACAGGCCAAGAGATTTTTTAGAGGATAATTGTTGTTACTCTTAATGGTTGAGATTCATTAAGCAAAAATAGAGTTCTTTCTCGGATGAGTGCTATCAGATGGTCAACGGATTTGCTACAGAAGAAAGGCCGCCTTTCTACATTTGTTTCTTGCTTCTGCCATGTGGATGGATGCCACGCTTCATATATTCTTAGTCAATGAATAAACCGTCAAATTGCCTTTGGTTGTTACCTACTTGTGCCATGTGGATGCTCGGTTCAACATTCTTAGCCAATGAATAGACCGTGAACTTACATTTACTTGAAAGGGCTGCACTGTACTGTATCGATGATATGTATGCATATTTTTTTGGGAAATAAGTTGTTCATTTCCCAACTCATTGAATAGACAGATGAAATGAAACATTTATGGAAGTTAGGACTTATTTGTGGTCTACAATTTATCCCTTTATTCAGATATTATTATGGGGTCTATTACCATTGAAAACAAAAGGCTAGGTGGTTGGTTCCATGAGAGAATCCAAATACTTTGGTGTTGGGGAATTTAATAAGTCTCCCTTCAGTTTGTAAGCCAAAAATCAAAAGAAAAAAAAAAGGTTAAAATTCACATGTAATTTCAATTACATTTGTTTATAAATTGATATTTATACTGCAAAAGCTTATGTTTAAACTATATATTAAAACATTAATTTTTAAAATGTAAAATTAATGTGTAAATGAGTATCAACTTTTGAAATTAAATGTGCATTTTAACTAAAAATATATTAGCTTTGAGAATGAACTATATCATAATCACTTCAAGGTTAGACTCAATCACGGTCAAGATAGCGGATGTTCAATTTGAATTCACCTCGAAATCAATAACCTAGCCTAAGGATTTTCATATTACATCTGCAGCCTAGTAATCCTGCTAGGCAAATACTTGGATCACTCTAATCAGCTCCTTTACAACACACAACTTCATAAAACCTTATGTTCTCGCTATCAAATAAACTCTGGCCTTTATAACAGTCCCATTCCCAAGCTTAAATCCAGGGCTGACTGGAAACCCTACAACTTGACCAGCTGGTACTCTTCCACCTGCAAATTTCACCACACTGTCCATATACTGGGGATGGAACTCAGCTCCACGACTTGCCTCAAACTGACTTGGTGCAGGGTTCAATGAGAATGCCAGCAAATGAAGCAACCACACTGTCTTTGCCACCCCTAAAAATTCATTGTAGAATTCACTCCTAGGGTGGTTTCCTGCTTGGACTTGATTATGCTGCTCCAAGTTACCAAACAAGGACTCCTCCATCTTGGGATGGACAATGGCAAGGTACTTCTTGGAACAGAATTTGCCAAAGTGACATGTTGGCAAGATTCCGAGAAGCTCGGTTGGATCCATGGACTTCATGTCCCGGTATTGAGTGAAGCAATCACGGCGAAACTGATCGGGGTTGAGGAGGGAGGAGAGGCTGCCATCCATGTAGAAAGTCTCGTGGTCGAAACCTTGAAAGATTTTCCTAGATATGTAGGATTCAAGGGCATACTTGGCATGGTGAGCTGAGACAATAGATGTGGTTGAAGTATTATGGTATTTGTCAGTGGAGGCAGTAGCAGCCTCAATGGACCGAACCGCAGCTGTAATGTCCCAATGTGCATTGTGCATTAGAGATAGGAGCAGAGATGTGAAAGACTTTGATGCTTCTCTCACTTGCACCATTGTTGCTTCAAAGAGTTCTGGGGTTGGAACTGCTACAATTGCTGCAAAAATAATTTGACAAAGAAGAGAATGAAATCCTCTATTCATTTTGTCCGCAGGGTATGTTTGGAAATGCTCATAAAGAGGCTATGATTCCTATAAGTTCTGCTCAGTTTATTTCAATAAGTTTTTTCATATAACTTCAAAATAAGTTCTTTTCACCTTATTATGTTTCGTAGTCAAATTTATGGTATAAGCCCCTTCTACAATAAGAACTTATTGAACAAGCAATTAAATAAATTATTATCCAAATGCAAGCTCTGCCAAGCATAAACGTTGGTTTACCTTGAAGGAGCTTCAGAAACCCGAAATCATCTAATTTAGTTTTCCAAAAGCCAAAACAAAATGCACATGCAAGAATCACTTTGAATAAATCTATACATACTCAAAATTCAAAGTAACAAAACAAAAAAGAAACTTTTCACTTTTACTGAATATTCCAGCCATCCAAACACAACATTTCATAAAATTTAAAATAGGGGCTTGCATATTCCACAATGTACCTTGAATTCCTATTTTCCTCTTAGACTGAGACCTCCCAGGTTTTTTCTCACCGCTTCCATTACTAGAGAGAGCAACAACACTCTCAAGCTTCTCTTTCAGATTCTGAACCTCTAAATCCTTTGACTTCACTTCCTTTTTTAGCTCTTCCACCACCGCCTCATACGGCGCCACCACCTCCCTCAGCGACGCCACACCACCGCCACCACCACCATTCCTCCGACCCTTCTTTCTCCCACCGCCGTCGCCGCCGCATCGCCGGAACCTCTCCCTCAACACTGCGAGCTTCCTGAGCTCCGCCACCACCGCCACGTCAGCAACCCTCATCTTCTCAGGGTCCCACGGAGAATGCGCCTCTTGCAACCTCACATAAGCCCTCTTCATAGACGACACCGTTTCAAACACCTCTTCCATCAATGTCTCCATCTGCTTCACCTTCAAAGCCCTGAACCCCACCATTTTCTCTTCCTCGAATTCGTCATTCTCCTCTCCATACCCTTTCTCTTCTTCTTCTTCCTCCTCCTCCTCTTCTTCATAATCTTCTTCTCCGTCTCTGTTTTCCTCTGAGTCGCAGGGCGAGTTGTGCTCCACCTTGCCGCCGGCGCCGGCGGCAAGAGGATGAAGGAGGCATGACGCGGTGACCCTTTGGATCAGATCGGAGAAATTGGAAACCTTTCTCGTCATTGGTGCGGAGATTGTTGGGTTTGACAGAGTCACCACTCACTGAGTCAGAGAGAAACAGAGAGAGAAGCGAAACAGAGAACAAAAATGGTGGGAAACAAGTGTGAGTGTGGGACCAGTGATATGATAATAATGCTATAAACAATTACTAACGCATATTCCGAACACGTGCTGTGTGTATATGTGAGACTGTGACTCGCTGGTTTCTGTGAACCAATGTCAGACCACCCACGAGGAGGGTGCGTACTATAACAACGTTGCTCTTCCATATTTTTATAAAATTAATATTAATACTTTTTTTTTGTAATTTTATGTAATAAATGTAATAATTTTTTAAGTTCTTCTTGTGTTTCCATGCACCATGATTAAAAAAAATAAAATTATGAATTAGTTACCCAACCTAACAAACAGAATGTAGGGGAGAATGTGTAAAATTGAATGAACTTTATCCATGCCGTATACAAGAGGTAAGGTCTGTATAAATGCATTTATATAATAATAATTGTAGAATATGACAGTACTGATGAGCATTGTGCTGTGAGCCCCTGTGTTTTAAGAAGGGAGAGTTTGAGCAGGACATGAAGCTAATGATAAAAGAAATGAAAAAAATATGACACTTAAACCAATGATTTGGTAAGAGATTTGAGTTTTTATGTTAATAATATAATATGATCGTATCATAGAAAAAAAAAGATATAATCTTTATTAGTTAAGAATTTGTCTTGATAGATTATAAATTTTATTAATTAGAATTGAGAAAAATTATGTTTTTTAAGTGATTATATCAAATTGTTAAATGACACGAGAAGATTCAAATTCCTTGTTAAGTTGACATTAGGGAATACCACATGGTTAACCTGTTGCCGGAGTAAGTTGGTGGCGTGCGGCGGTTGATGGCGGAAAAGGGTGTGACCGGTAGTTGTTATGTTCAACAATGGAAGTAGGTGGTGCCATTCACTATATGTGAATTGAAGTGGTGGACCAGATTGGGAGCAGGGTTACTAATTGCTTTGTGGCAGAGCATGTGGAAGATAAGGGAGTGCAGTGAACAATGTAGAGACAGAAAAAGATAGTCTCTTGCTTTGAATATCATTTGGGTAATGTCATGTATAGAATAAAATTATTAATTCAGCAGAGATTAAGTTAATTTTTAATAACTCCTTATAACTATTAAATTTTATTAATTTAATTAAATAAAATTATATGTTCATGTTAATTATACATCTTATATTTAAAATAAATTAAACATTCATAAATGTATAATTTTATAATTCATATTTATTTATAATTTAAAAAGGTAGATTAAATGTTAAAATAAAATTGTTTGATTAATTATTAATTAGTTTTTAATTTACATGAATAATTCACAAATTAGACACCTTTTTTTTAAAACTAACTCATAAGATAAATATTATATATAATTTATATATTTGAATTATCTATAAAGTATTTTCCTACTAAATAGTCCAGCACTAACTTCTATGGTCCAAACCTATGCTAACCATAGCATTAATATTCAAACCGCATTGACAACCTAATAAGCCCAATTTCAGAAACTTCCCATTGAACAGAGTCTTCTCTGCAGTTGTGCCATCCTTTTCTCTTTGACTCGAATTAGATTATAAAAATATAAAAAAGGACAAGATTTCCGATTCAAAATTCCAACCAAATAACAAGTCAATGAAATTAATATTGTATTCGTACAATCACATGTGTATAAGGATATCTATTAAAATTAAAACTTAATAAAAATAAAAATATTTAATATATATTTATAATAATTTAATATTTTAAAATAAACAATATATTCACTTGTACAAATAATAGGTAATAAAAAATATCTTATTAATCAAATTTAACGATAAATAAAATATAAAAAATTGACACTTAATACATTTAAGAATAAATATTTATTTTTTATTATTAAAAAAGTAATTAATATATTTCTTATAAAGATGAATAAAATGATTTTTTTTTTACCAACATGCCGATTTTAAAAGAAGTGATTTACATTTCATTTCTTGTTTCAAATTATTATAATAAAATTTAATATAAGAGTTTCAATTTAGTTTTTTTTTTATTTATAGTCAGTAGTGTTTTTCAAAATAAATTTAATTTTTTTATATGCCGACAGCAAACATGTAAAAAAATATTATATTATATTCAAGCATGTGTTTGAAGAACTCATTCAAACATGCCAAATTGCAACCCTTTCTCTCCATCTTCACTTGAGATCTTGGAATCATTACATTTTGATCAGTCTTGGGTTGATTAATTATAAATATAGTTTCTTCATATCAACCTTGTTTTATATGAAAAATCATATATTTCAATTCTTACATAAAAATTATTCATAAACTAATTTATAGATATATATATCAACACTATAAAAATATTAAATTTAATCTCTAAAATTATTAAAATTTTATTTTAATCCTTGCATATAAAAAAAATCATTATATTCTCTTCACATACATATAAAAATGACATTTAACTTATGCCCATAGCATGCTTATTTTTTAATTTAATCCTAAAAAAATTATAATAAAAAAATATTTTGATACTTTTTTACATAAAGATCAAATTATAATTTTTTTTTATCTCTATAATGAATAAAATAGAAAACAAGTTTGATGTAGAACCAAAATTAAAACTTAACCTTGAATCTTCATTCTATAGTTGCAAACAAAATATTCATGGAGAAGGCATACTTTCCTTGATTATTGTTATCTCAATGAAACCGATGAGCTTTTATCATTCTCACCTAAACTTTTCTACATAAATTGGTAGTCTCCCACCAATCACAGCCATCTAACGAGACCAAATGGATAAGATTTCATAGATATTTTCAAGGCAAAAAGCCCCTCAAAGTGATATTTTCATATTTTCCAAAGTAACAACAAAAAATGTGAAAACCAAACTAAAATATCTGCCATAGCCACCAATTCATACAAATATACACACAACACAAACACAAACACAAACAAAAACACCCCATTCCTAGGAACAAGTTTTCATTGAACAAAAATGGAGTGCTATGGTAGGCCAAACAGGAGTGACATCCATCTCTCAGCTGAGGAAGAAGCCACCATAGAAGCAAAGACAAGAGAGTATTTTGATGAAATGGCACCAAAGCGCCACACAAAGCCTCAACGAAGTGAGTATTCTACTCAATATGTTGATGCTTTCTCCAACATCAATTCCCACGATTCTTCTACACCAGAATTGCTACAATTCCAACGCCTTGAGAAGGATCCTCAAGAAAAGGTTCGTTTCAAAACTATATTATTTCTCTTAAAATTTTCATCATATGAAAAATTTTGTTGAATTATGTAAGAAAATGTATGAAAAAAATTGCGTTTGCCGGGAGTCGAACCCGGGTCTATTGCTTGGAAGGCAATTATCCTAACCGTTGGACTACAAACGCTTGTTGTTTCCTTTTTATTTTTTCAATTATATATATATTCATGATTAGTTCTAAGAGAAAACTTTCATATGGGCTAGATCTGGGTATTTGTATAAAGAGAATCTCTGAAACAGGAGCGTAAGTTGATTGCCTAATTTTTTTTCCATAGATCTTTTCTTTTTACCCATTATTTCACTATATTTTATGTAACTTCAGTATATGTTTATTTTATCTGTATGATTCCTTTGATCTTGCATTAAAAGATCACATTCTCTCAGTTTTAGTACATGTTTTCGTGTTTTCTTTATACATTTTGAATTGGTCTTTATTTTATGCAAGGATTGCTATGAGAGAAAACAGTTCCTTGCACATAATCCCCACATCATATCACTCTAAATAGTGCATTTTTGTTACGGTACATTGCTTGATAATAAAAAAATGGTTTACAGATAGTTGATAGAGTTGCTCTAAGCTAAGGTATTACAGAGTTTAGTTTTGATCCACCTTAACAATGTTCATTTTTCATACAATTGTTATCATGTTAATTTCTTTTTAATTTAATGACTTGATAATACATAGGTGAATGAATGATAATATTGAAATGTTTCAGTTTTGATCAATACCATACTAGACTTTATATGTCGGCGTTTCTAATAGGTTTCAATTATTTTTTCCCCACAATTGTATTCAGAAATTGGTGTACAATGGAAATGAAGTTACAGAAGAATTTGTAGAAACAGAGTATTACAAAGATCTCAACAGCGTGGACAAACACCATCATACGGTATTTATTTCCATCCTACTTGCATTGTTCTCAAAATATTAAAAGTTTATAACAAATACATCTCTACGCTATATTCTTCTTAGTTTAGTAAATTTGATTGCAAAATATTGAACCCATTTTACTTTATAGTGGAATTTTATATTCAATGGCATACAGTCAGCCATATCTAAAAGAACACTTAGATTTGTGTTTAGCATTTGCAGATAGATTTGGATTCTTTCACTTTATTTATTAATATGACAATTTTATGTCCCAGAAGAGAAAGATAAAAATAAAATATAATTAATATAGCTTTCAAATAATATCATTCCTATTTATAATTATTTTTTTGACATTTTTCTCATGAGATAACATTTTTATATTAGTAACATGTAATCATTTATATATTACAAATCATTGGTGTTAACGAATGAAAAGTGATTTTGGTACAATTTAAGGTACCAAAACTCATTGTTGTTTTCTTTGATTTTAAAAGAGTATTTGAGATGTGCATTTAAAAGATAAAAAAGAGAGTTAAGAATGAAGATAGTTATATATAATTTTAATCATTTGAGTTTCAAACACTGTAACTGTATACATGAATATGTGTGCTTTACCCACAGACTGGAACAGGGTTTATCAAAGTAGAGAAAAGTGAAAAAAGCTTCCACATAGAACCAGATAGTGACACTGGCTGCCATCACTCTTGCAAGTGCAATCCTGCAACCAATGATTGGATTCCTACTCCTTCCACTGATGTAACATACCATATATAGTACTTTGCTCTTTGACTTTATACTGATTATGTCATCTTTGTGTTGTTCTAAAAATTTCTCTATGACATTAATATGTTTCAGGTTGGTTTCAATTCAGACAAACCAAAGAGGAGTGACAACTGAAAATGAAGGAGCTGCTGTTGTTTGCTCTGCATGAGGAGTATAATGTTTGAACTTAATTCTATATTTTAGGATTCCATGTGGTGTTTAAAGTTGGAAACCAGATAAATATTTTTAAAAACAAGACTTGTGATTTGGATTTAAGTTAAATATGGTGCTATTTGGCATTTCATGTTGTATACATTATTTCCTATGTTTATGGAAACATAAATATAAGTTTTAAATTTCATGCAAATTATTATTGTAGGAATGCATTTTTTTCATCTTATGATGATAAAAATAAGGTCATTTCTTTATGTGAAAAGTAAAATTGAAACTGTGTTCCACTCAATTTGAATAAGCTTTCACATAAGTTGTTATAAGAAAATTAAATTAAATTATGCTTGGTAATATTAGTCAAAAACTTATAATTTATAGCAAGTTGATATAAAGCTATTTAGTAAAATTAACTGAAATATATTAAATGACTAAAAAGAATATTTATTATTATATTAAAATTAAATAAAGAGATAAATTTAAAATTTTGTACTTACATTTAATTTGTAATTATAAATTAAATATTATTTAAAAAAATTTCAAAAGTTAGCTTTAAAAGCTGTATAAACTCTTTCTATTTTAAAGTTATCAAATAGTTTTACTAGTTTATTAAAAAAAAAAATAATAAGCTCCTAAATAAGTTATAAGGTCACCTCACCAAATATAACTTTAATATAAAAATAAATAAATAAGAGAACTTTTAAAAATATAAAAAAGTATAAGCTAATTTTATAAAAAAAAAGTTTAATTAATTTTCATGTTATTTATACTTGTTAAGAAATTTGCATTCAGTAGGATTGTTAAACTACACTTCATAAAAAATCTGGATACAATAAAGCTTTCTAATTGGCAATAACACCATGCTAAACTACTGCCAACACAACCTATAGCAATTGATTTACATATATATTTTGATGTCTAATATAATTGTCATGGAATTGAATTATGGAACGGACTATAACTTCTCAGGTGTAAATAATTGCCATAAAAGAGTTGCATAACCCATTATCATTCTACTTAGTGTATAATTAACTAATAAAATTGTAGAGCAAATAATATTATAATTTTTTACATTTTGGTTAAAAGACCTAAAGTAGCAAAGTCTTGAATCCATAAAAATAAGACTTGGTGTAATTATTGTATTTAAATATTTTTTTTATGTTGTTTAAGCATAGACAGATATAAAAAATAAAAGAAAATCATGAAAAAAAACATTAAAATAATTCATATAAATCACTAAATGGAAAATGTCCAAAAAATAAATAAATCTAGCGAGTAACTAATAATCCTGGAAACCATGATACCTTATTCCAAAATATAAAAAATAAAAAGTACCAAAAAAAGAAAAAAAAAATATAGAAAACAAATTCCCTTCAGAAAGATTTTAAAATAGATCTTCAAATCTTGAAACGCTTTGCAGCTTTTTAGGAGGAGGCCTTGTTTTTTTTATATCCTCCTGCATGTAACATTTGCAATAATGTTTATAAAGTCAAATTAACATTTCTAACAAATACGGGAATTGAGATAGAGACCATGATAATTATTTTTTTTAAGAAGTAATAAAAAAATATTATATGACTGTTGAAATGCCATGAAAAGCAAAGAGACAAGGTCGTAGAAGAGATCAAAGTCTTTGGAAAGAAGAAATATGTATTAAAAAGCTATCAACTCTTTACAAAATATAGTGAGACTATAGGGTCAAATACACGTAACTCATAAAAACTTCAAATAATAATAATAATAATAACATTCATCGTTATATGTAAAGGCTACAAATGCATATGCATTATAAAGAAGATAAAAAATATGTTAGCTACATGAAAATAATTCGTTTATCATTCTACTGTAGTTTAAGTGAAGCTGAATATATAAACTTTTCACGTAACAGTGAATGTATCTAAAATATTCATGAACATTTCGTACTAATTACTTGAAGATAATGTATTGTATATATGCATGAATATTTCGTCTTACTTCAACAATGCAACATGCACGTATATTTGTGTTTCGTGTTACATTCAGGGTTATGTCGCCTTGCAGTGGCTGTGGACAGTTATCAACCTCCCAGAATAATGACTCTATTAAATTCAGAATCTCTGGATCCATTTCCTGTCAACATATTCAATTACCAAAAACGAAAGAAAAACAAAATCGAGTTAGTGATTCCATTCACAATAACTTTTTTAAAGTATAGAATAATGTAAAGGTTTATTGTTTATATTCTATTGTTTATATTTTATTGCACTTGACCTTACCGTATCCTCATAGGCAGCTTTTCCCTTTTTCTCCAGAGCACAGAACACTGGTTCTGATTGATTAACTATCTTAGAATAACTGATAGGGTTGCATTTCCCCTGTTTGCATATTTGTAGGTCCACTTTATCAGCTGAGAAACCTTGGAACATGTCACCGTTTACCTGTACAAAATAAAGTGATATAATAAAGAATGAAGCAAAGTTGGGAAAATTTTAAAATTTAAGTAAGCAAATTTATCTTAGCACAAGAAAAGCTTATAATTACATGCATTCCTGTTGAGAGTGTAGTCATGATTCCTGTATTCACTGCTGCAACATTGAAAAAAACAATTAAAAAATCTCTGATGTTATTATTATATGGCAATACTGAAGGATAATTATGAATTATTCTTGTAAGTCCATTCACATATTATTTATTATAAACTGATGTATTAGTTTGTAAAAAGTCATGTATTAATTAGTCAATGTAAGTTATTAAAACTTGAGTTCAAGGTAAATGAAAATGAAGATTTAAGTTAGTAGTATTATGTAATTGGTGAAAACAAAATCAAGTTATATTCGATCTCTTTTTATTTGAAATGTTTAAATAAGTATACATTGTTACAATAGGAAGAAGCAAGAAACATACAGGAAGAACGATTGTCTAGCAACAACGGTTTGTTTGCTTTCACATTCGTTGGATATGTTCCTACTTGATGAGAACTAGTCATGTCTTGCATGCTTTCCTTGAATTTTTTACCCTGAAAATTAAAGTAAAAAAAAAAGTGACATATAAAAACATTTGTGAAAACTTGTTCGAACTGTGATCAGATTAAAACCTCATTAACAAGAGTTTTTTCACCCATGAGCTCTTCAATGGAGTAAACCCTCTTACAACTGATTTTCTCCATTTAGCCCGTACTCGTTCTGAAGGATTTATAACTGAAATAATCAACCCATATTTCTCAGTCAATAAATTCTCAATCATAATTCTTTACATAAGGCAATAGAATTAAAGGAAAGATTAAATGAAAAGCAAAATTTCCATTCTTTACGTGTATCAAAGCATGCTACGAATTGCTAAATAAAGTTCAAGAACAATTAATATACATGACACTATAACTAGGGGTGTTAAAAGATTGAATTTTCAAAAAATCAATCTAAATCTATTTAAAATTCAATTATATAGATTGGATTATAAACTAATCCATCTTAATTTTTCTAAAATCGATTTAAATTTGGTTTTAAAATTTGAATTTAGTTTAAAACTGATTTTAAACTGTTTTTATATATGGTAAAAATATACCATAATTATTTTTTAATTATTATTAAATTATTATATTAAAATATTTAAATAAATAATATAATATTATATATATATATATATATTTGTTAAGCATCAACATTTATCAAAGATAAAATATGAATATAAATAGTACTCTAACCCATTACATTAACAATACATGTTAAGAGATTATTTACATATATTTTAATTTCTTAATAGTATTTTTTAATTTTATATTTTATTAAAATAATAAATATTTAGAGATATTATATTTTATATCATCTATCCATCACACAAATTAATTATATAAGTTAAATTTTAAACTATTTTATTTTATTTTTTTAATCGGTTAAAAAATAGTTTTAAAATTTAAATTTAATTTAAAATTGATTTTAAATTTAGTTTTTGTTGAAACTAATTTTAAATTTGGTTTTACGTTGAATTAGTTTTAAATTTAATTTTTAACGCAAAATTAATTTTTAATATATTTGTGAATTATATTTTTAAGGTAAAACTAATTTATTGTACAAATGTTATATTAAAATAGTTCATTTGAAAAAGATTATAACAATATTTATTAATATATTATATTTTATAGAAGTATATAAAATATTTATTATTATTTTTAACTTATTTTTAATAAATGGAGTTTATAATAAAAATTCAAATTAAAATCTATAAAAATAAAAATTAATAATATAAATAATAATAAAAATTTTATGTTATAATATTTTAAAAATTAAAAAATAACATAAATATAAAAATAACAGTAGTAATTAATTTAAAAATATTTGTTATATTTTAATTTTTTAAATATTTTAATTATAAGAATTAAGATTAATAAAAAAATAGTAGTAGTAAAATATAGTTACAATAAAATTTTGTAAACTAATATAACGCCAAAATTTAGTAAATAGAGATATAAGGTTGCTTCATACATATGGATTTGGATAACTACAAATAAATCCGGTTTTAAAAAATGGATTTAGACACTAAACTGGTTATACAACTATAGTTAATAAAAAAACTAGTTTAATATGGATCTAGATTTTTAAAACCAATTTGACATTGATTATGGATTGGATTTATGGAATTGGATTTTTTGACCACCCCTAACTATAAGTTGTGCTTTTAAAATTGGGTCAAATAGAAATCAAGGAGGAATTTAAAGACTTAACAGCAGTGAAAACAGAAAAGAGAAAAAGAAAATCTTTGTCAGATTATGCGGAGACTTATTTATTTATTGTTTAGTAATTAACATTAAGCTTAATAAACCCTAGCCTTTTGTCTATTGGTCAACACTGCAAATCAATGACTAACCCTAATTTCCTCCAAACTTTGTAGACAAACCACTTCTTACTAAGATGCTTTGACCAAAAAAGAAAAAAAGAAATCATGATGACAGAAGAATTTATAAATACATTGCTCTCTTGATATAACACACGCAATAAATATTAGGAGACCCTTACTATTCTTGTGATCGTGCAATTAATTGTTGTGGTCAAATAAAATTTCATACGAATCCAAAGCGCACCACGATGAAAATTGCAAACTAATTGCGTTGGATCATACACAAACAAAGATTGATGAAAACGTCTGTGCACATACAAAATTTGAATGCGTTCTAGGTTCATTATTTGGTCCAGTGAACTGCTAAACAATTCAAATTGTCAAAAAAAGAATCAAGACTTATGCAACAAAAGAACAAGGTTGGTGATATCCCCATCTTTCTATTCCAGGAAATTAAGATACTCATACTATCAACGATATAGGAGGGAGTGACAAGTGATAAGTGGAATAACCAATAATCAAAATAAAGAGCATAGAGACACAAGAGAGAGAGAAAAATAGGTATATATATGAAAGAAACAATCTTTCAATATGATTCTGAAGATTCTTGATCATTTAGCACACTATAGTGGGGTTGTTCAACCAAGGAGGCACTGTAATGTGTGTTTATCATGCCCTTCTTGAATTAACGCTGATTCCCTCCAGAAGGTATCGAGTGTGACTATGCCACTGGTAGCTTGTGATTTAAATATTAAATTTGTTTGGGTTAATTTGGGATTTCAAAACTTTTATGTGGGATTGTTTATATATAATTTATTTTTAAATTATAAAATTTGTGGAGAGAGTTTTGTAAGGGATAAAAGACGTTGCATCACACCAATGTTGGGTAACTATGATGGCATTGCAACTATATTGACATTATCACTAGTAAATATGCCACTTCTCACTAAGATGCTTTGACAAAAAAAGAAAAAAAGAAATCATGATGACAGAAGAATTTATAAATACATTGCTCTCTTGATATAACACACACAATAAATATTAGGAGACCCTTACTATTCTTGTGATCGTGCAATTAATTGTTGTGGTCAAATAAAATTTCATACGAATCCAAAGCGCACCACGATGAAAATTGCAAACTAATTGCGTTGGATCATACACAAACAAAGATTGATGAAAACGTCTGTGCACATACAAAATTTGAATGCGCTCTAGGTTCATTATTTGGTCCAGTGAACTACTAAACAATTCAAATTGTCAAAAAAAGAATCAAGACTTATGCAACAAAAAAATAAGGTTGGTGATATCCCCATCTTTCTATTCCAGGAAATTAAGATGCTCACACTATCAACGATATAGGAGGGAATGACAAGTGATAAGTGGAATAACCAATAATCAAAATAAAGATTCAAAACTTTAATCTTAGGTGTCCTAAGACAGTTCTATTATGAAATATTGTGCAACTAAAGAATAACTAGAAATTGAGGGAAAGATAACCCAATGCATTA